AAGATCTTCACTCAAGCACACAGCTCACTCCCCAGTATCCATGCCTCTGGAGAGAACTACACTCTAGCACACACAGCTCACTCCTCAGTATCCACATTAAAAGTGAGATCAGCACTCCAGCATACACAGTTCACTCCCCAGTTTCCAGGCCTTTGGTGGGATCAGCGCTCCAGCTCACTCCCCTGTATCCATATCACCAGTGAGATCAGTACTCCAGCATACACAGTTCACTCCCCAACATATGTGGTGAGTAAGGCTGTGTGGGACTTGGTGCAAAACCAGTGTGCCAGAATTTGCCAAAACTCATGTAATCACCTCCTGGCCCAATCAGTTGTTGCAGGGGCATTCCCTGCCCCTTTTTGAAATGTTAGCCATGGGGTGGGGAATGTCCAAGGCGCACATGAGTGGAACAGGAGGGGGTGATGTCAGTGAGTTGTATGCACGTTTGGGTGAACTCTGGCGAACTGGGTTCACACCAAGCCCCCGCATTTCATTCCCTCAATACAGGGCTCTGTTATCATACTATTATGCACACTCAAGAGCCATTTGGCAGGCCTTTGGCATCTGTTAGACTTTGGATAACATATCTCCATCCCATGGAGAAGCTCATCTATTATTAGCTCAACTGAACATGTTCTCTCTTGAGAAGAGGCGATTAAGGGTAGGGATATGATAAATACATTAACAGTCCATATAGTGGACTTGGTGCAACGTCTTTCACTTTAAGTTACCACAAAGGATAAGAGGGCACTCTACTCCTGGAGGAAAACCAGTTCACCTTTTGTATACAGAAAGGCTTCTTCGCAGTAAGAGCTGTGAAAATGTGCAAAAGGCTTCCTCAGGACTAGTTCTAGCCAACTACTAGCTAATTATCAAAATAATCACAGAATATAACAGATATTAACATTTTATACGTAAAAAAAGCCACCAGAGATTGCTGATTCAGGGAATATCTGATTGTTTTAGGGAATCAGGAAGAATTCTTTCCTTTTTGGAGCAAATTGGACCTTGCTTTATAGGGTTTTTTTGCCTTCCTCTAGATCAACCATGGGTATAGGGTTCTGTTAATGGAGACTTTCTACCTATTAATCCACTTTTGTCCTCTATTCCTAAACCCGTGCCTTTTTTCAACCTATGTAAAATGGACGCAGAAAATGCTGCTCCGTGCTCTATCAGCCATCTGTCATGTAGCCATGTACTGTAACATCCGGCCACATCACCTAAGCTGTAGTGAAGTATCAGAAGATCACAACTGCTAACTTGCTTGCGCCACTCAATCTCCATGGCTCCGAAGCTAAAGTCACCTGACAAAATGCCCAGGCATGTAGTCACATGACCACACAGCAATTTTTTCCCCCTTTCATTGCAGGGATGTATTACAGGAATATTTAATATAATACGGCAGAGTGGTTAGGTTTTGGGGGTTGTGTAATACATAGTAAATATATTGAAGTGATATATAGAGAGAGAGAGAGAGAGAGAGAGAGAGAGAGAGATAAGTTTATCCATAAAATATTGCAATCAGGGGCGTAAACAATAGCCATAGCAGCCCATGCAGCTGCTTTGGGGCCTGGGGGGGGGGCATGAAGGATTGCTGAATTTGCTGTTGATCTTGTACCCCTTACGGCATTTCCAATCAAGAAGTGTTGATATCAGAAGTACAGGAAGAGATTATGCAGACAACTCTCCTGCTACCTGTCCATGATTTAGATTTTAAAGGGTTTGTCATGATCTGCAGTTACGCCCCTGGTTGCAATGTATGTGTTACCTACCTACTAGAATTATTATATTATATTTTTTCCAATGTTCTGGCCTGCACTATAAAATAATAGCTGAGATCTGATGGGTTACTATAGGCAAAAAAGACAACTTTCCCCATATTAATAGAGCTGGGCCATTGAACTATAAGTGGATAATGTCGTCGCGCTGTCTGTAGGTGGCGCTGTCGCCCCGGGAATGGGGACAGGAAGGTGCTATTGATGTGTGCGGAGGTGAGCGCTTTCTGGTGCCACGTGCGCAGTGACGTCACGGCGGGAGGTGCGACGAACTCGCAGGACAAGTTAGCGCTGCCGGTAAAGGCAGAGGAGGTGTCGCTGGTTTCCGGGACGGGCTGAAGCCGCACTCCAGAGTCGTGACCGCTCTTTGGCAGACCACACCCAGTTATTGGTGGCTGGGGATCACGTGAGAAGCTCACAGTAGCAGCAGGAAGAGTTGCTGATTTAGGACAGGCAGTGACAGTCCGATCAGTGTACAGAGCCGGCCAGTTACACGGGACGACAATGGCGAGGATCGATCAGCGATATGTGCTGCTCTCGGGGATGCTGGTGCTGATTCTGGTGGGGATGACAACAGCTGCTGGTAAGAGCCGTCACAGCCCCTCTCCTACACGTACTATAGAGCGGCCAGCTGTCCCAGGTCTGTGCCAGGAGACAGGTGGAGCGCTGCCGCAGGGCGGTGCTCAGTATAGGGAGGACACATGGTGATCGTGTCACCTGAGATAATGGAATGATCGCTCAACACACGTCATATGTTTGGGTCGCCCATCAGATTCTAGGGCAGGTGATCACTACCCATTAGAGAACAGCTTCTCTCTCTCGTGGGATCTAATGTGACACAGGATGATCTGTACAAACCAGTTCAAATGTCATTAAAGACCTGGTCACATGAGCTTACACTCTAATGCTGGCCATACACATGATGGGATCATTCCAAGAAACAATTGTTTCTGTATTCTGATAGAATCTAACGCTGGCCATACATGTATTGATTTGATAATTCGAAAAAACAACTGTTTACATATTCTGATAGACTCTAATGCCGATCATACACATATTTATCTGATCATTCAACAAAACAAGTGTTTCTATATCCTGATGGAATCTAATGCCAGTCGTAGACATATTGATCTGATCATTCCATGAAACAATTGTTTCCATCTTCTGATAGAATCTAATACCAGTCTTGTTTATATTGATCTGATTATTCCATGAATCAATTGTTTCCACATTCTGATAGAATCGAGCAGTTATCAGTCACTTTCCCCCCGCTTTTCTGATTGCTTTCACTTAATTTCAAGGGATCAATTCAAAAATGAAAAGCAGTCAAATGGGTGAAATGTTCTGATTGCCTTTTCAGCCTGTTTGGTATATGGAGCAATAGATCAAATCTGAATGATCACTTATGTTTTCCATTACTTTTTCAAGTAAATGTTTAAAGTTGAAAGCGATCAGCCTGTTTTGGTTACCGTTTGCATTAACTATATTGGGTATATCAAATTTAATATGCAATATGAATACATGGTTGCATGAAATATCGGTCTGTGTGTATGGCCTTCAATAGAATGGCATGCTTAGCTGGCAGCCTGAGAGCCACAACTGTCTTTCTTGTGCCAGCTTGTCTGCCCTAATTTAGCTGAAACAATTCCACTCTTTGCTTTTCCCACACATTTCTGTAAGCATGAAATCAGACCCTCCACTTATGCTGTGTGGTATATATTGCTGGGTAAGCTTGGCACAGCTAGGGCTGGCTGGTATGTCAGAAGTATCTAGTGCTAGTGGAGTTCTCCAGATTCTCCACGATACATCTATTAAAATCTTCTGCCCCTTAACGTAAATCTATGGCCAGGCTATGGACATTCAAGTATTTACATATTGTTAACAAGCAGTAGATGACCTTTAAGGCCCTGTTAACACTTCTATGGTGCAGTAACATGAGTTTGTTCAGTATAAATGGTACCCCAGCACAGCTTCCTAACACTTGCATTGCATTGTTGCCACAAATGCTGCTCTCCCCATTTTTTTTTTGTGTGTTAGGCAGCCCACTCATAATGTGCATTCTCTAATGCAGCATGCTAGTGAAAAACAAGCCCTCACTGATCTCTATAGCTGCAGGCACTATGGAATAATTTTTCAGGTAGCCCATTCATAATGCACATGTGCTAACACAGTGTAAACCCAGCTTAAAACAAGCCCACCCTGATCTCTGTAGTTGAAAGTACTATGGAGTAATTTTGTCAGGCAGTCCATTCATAATGTATGGCAGTGTGAACCCAGCCTAAAACCCACCCTTATTGGTCTCTATAACTGCAGGTATTATAGTGTAGTTTGTCAGGCAGCCCATTCATAATCTATTTGTGCTAGCACAGCATGACCATGTGAACCCAGCCTAAAACAAGCCATCACTGATCTCTGTAGCTGCAGGCACTATGGAGTAATTTTCACCCAGCTCATTCATAATGCACGTGTGCTAACACATTGTAAACCCAGCTTAAAACACGGATCTCTGTAGCTACAAGTACTATGGAGTAATTTGTCAAAGTTAATAGCAGAAGCACTGAAGTCATTTTAGTCTTTCTCTCAGCAGCTGATCACCTTCACTGCATTTACGTCAGAGATTAAGGGTTGGTTGTAGGTTCACTTTAAATATGGTTGTAAGACATCTGCAGGTTCACAATGAAGTTGAGGGCCCACGCACAATGCCTAATAGATGCCTCTCCATCATTCTGCCTGGTGCAGACAGACACAAACTGCTATGTGGCTGAATCATATATTTCCTGTAAGGCATAAGGAACGCCGATCACAAAATAGCACTTCTCACTGCGTAGGAAAACTCAGTTCTTGTGTGAAATTGCAGCAAGGACGTACATCTGTTAGGCCCTAAAAATAATCTCTTCCTTATTTCCTTGGTTGATAAGAAAACATAGTTGCGTAATTCCCTGTTCGTAGGTTAGGACTGCATGGATGATTTTAAAGTGGACCTGAACTTGTTATGAACATTTGCTATGCTATGGGGAACATTTTGGCCTTTGGTGTTGACAGGTTTTGGGCTTGTGTCAATGGCATTAGTTTAAGACACTTCCGAGACCATTCAGAATTTACTGACAGGTGCATTTGACATGCAGTTTACTTCAGTCCTGTGTTTGGCCTGCTTCAAGCGGGCATACACATAGGTATAGGTTTAGGAGTGTGTCTATGGGAATGTTTGACCATTCTTCCAGAAGTGCATTTGTGAGGTCAGGTACTGATGTTGGACGAGAAGGCCTGGCTCGCAGTCTCCTCTCTAATTCATCCCAAAGGTGTTCCATCGGGTTGAGGTCAGGAATCTGTGCAGACCAGTCAAGTTCCTCCACCCCAAACTCGCTCACCCATGTCTTTATGGACCTTGCTTTGTGCACTGGTACGCAGTCATGCTGTAACAGGAAGGGGTCATCCCCAAACTGTTCCCACAAAGTCGGGAGCATGAAATTGTCTTGGTATGCTGATTCCTTAAGGGGCCAAGCCCAACCCCTGAAAAACAACCCCACACCATAATCCCCGTCCACCAAACTTTACACTTGGCACAATGCAGTCAGGCAAGTACCGTTCTCCTGGCAACCGCCAAAGCCAGACACGTCCATCGGATTGCCAGACAGAGAAGCGTGATTCGTCACTCCAGAGAACACGTCTCCACTTCTCTAGAGTCCAGTGGCGGCGTGCTTTACACCACTGCATCCGACTCTTTGCATTGCACTTGGTGATATAAGGCTTGGATACAGCTACTCGGCCATGGAAACCCATTCCATGAAGCTCTCTACGCACTGTTGTTGTGCCAGTATGAGGGCCACACGAAGTGTAGCGGTCTGTAGCTATTGACTCTGCAGACAGTTGGAGACTTATGTGCGCTTCAGCATGCGCTGACTTGGCTTTGTCATTTTACGTGGCCTACCACTTCATGGCTGTGTTGCTGGTGTTCCCAGTTGCTTCCACTTTGTTATAATACCACTAACAGTTGGCCGTGGAATATTTAGTAGCAAGGAAATGTCACGAATGGACTTATTGCACAGGTGGCAACCTATCACTGTGCCACGCTTGAATTCACTGAGCTCCTGAGAGCGACCCATTCTTTCACAAATGTTTGTAGAAGCATCTGCATGCCTAGGTGCTTGAGTTTATACATCTGTGGCCATGGAGGTGATTGGATCACCTGAATCCAATGATTTGGAGGGGTGTCCCAATACTTTTGGCAATATAGTGTATGTCAAGTGTGTGCACCCGGAAAAAATGACTGTACCCAAAATCATCAAGAGGCAACTCTTGAAACAGCTTATCAGTATAGCGTTAACTGTTAATGAGACGCCTATAGTCATTTGTCCCACTCCATCATGTGTTGTGATTCCCAATATGTGTTGCACAATCGTTGTTCATATATACGTGTGCACCCTACATGGATGCTTGCCTTCATATATGTACACAACAGGGTGCTTTAACATTTTTATATGATATTTTTAATTCTTTTCCTTTTAAATATATTTTTCCTTTTTTTTTTTTTTTGTGTTACTTTATTGTTTTGTATGATAGCATTAGGCAGGTGACAGGTGCTCACTTTTATGCAAAAGCCAGGAGTTGGCTGAACAAAAAGAAAACGAGTACATGGTGACTGCTTGTTTTAACCCCTTCAGGGCTGGATTTAGGACATGAACCCAGAAGTGGTTAAAGGAGAATTTATGGGGAGAGTGAAATACACTCATCCCCATACTTAAGGTGCCCATACACTGCACGATTATCGTACGAGAATCGTTGGAAGTCCCGCGATCGTACGATAATCGCAAAGTGTATGTACCCGCCCCCTCCCCCGTCCGATCCTCCAGTCAGCGCTGGTGGATCTGAGGGGGTAATCCAGCCCCTCCCCTGTCACGGCAGAGAGCTGTGACAGGCTCGAGAAGTGAGCGAACGCCGGTATGTGATCACCTCCTGATCTACTAAGCCGGCCTGTGACAGTCTCAATGTCACAGGTCGGCTAGAACTCTGAGGTGAGTGAAAAGCACTCACCTCATAGTTCTCCTTTTAAGCTAACTCGCAGGGGCTGACCTGGATTTTAGATTGTAAGCTCTGACGGGCAGGGCCCAACCATCTTGTCTGTCTTGTATTGTAAACTGTTGGTGCCATATAATAATAATATACTCCATTAAGGTTTGGGATATTGTAAAACCTGGTTGGGTGATCCTTGGAAATCCTAGGTCTTGGCAGTAAGATCAGTGGCCCAGCTTGCTTCGCACAGTAGATTATCTATGTCAGAGTGTGGAACAGTCCACGCACCACTTACAGGAATAGTTATACAAGCGCCAAGTTTACTAATCCACGACTGAAATGGTTAAAGCAATCCACCTTGACTTAACAACATGCTTTACATTCCTGGTTCGCTTCTAATAGCAGTTAGCTAAATCTCTTGTTTACTCGTTAGAAAGAGAGATGTCAACAAAGATACATTGGAATAAGGCAAGCTCAGAATGTCATATAGTCACAATATTGATGACACTTCAGTGTTGGAGTGCAGCAACTGATTATTCCTGCCTCTCATCTTAATCCTGAGTACTAATGTACCTCTAGTCACAATTTATAAGAGGCACTCATTGATGTGAAGGGAATATTCAGTGTGAGGGAAGATACAGAACAGGTTGGGGGGGGTGGGGGGACTGGAGCAGGCAGAATTTGGAGCATTGCCCGTAGTAACCAATCAGCTTCTCTCTTCAGTTGGTTCAGTTAAGCTTTAAAAAAGAAAGCTAGAAGCTGATTGGTTGCCATGGTAGAATTGCTATGTAAATGTATTAGTAAGTTATGTGTTGCATTGTAACAGACACCACTTCTAGTCATTCTAGAGTGAGGCAATGGTGCAGGACACGGATGTCTGTCAGGTAAATGTCCACTCTGCACCAATGCTAGGTAGTACTTTTGGGGAGGGGGCGAGGGAGAAGAGGTTACTGCCACTGACCACCAATGATTGGCAGGGCTTATTGCCGCTGACCACCAATGACTAGGAGGTCAACTGTGACCTTGTGGCCTCTTACACAGTGGTGGCAGTCTACCGGGCGGCCCTCCAGCTGTTTGTAAACTACAAATTCTATGAGGCACTGCAAGATTCTCACAGGCATGATTCCCAGAGAGATGCATGCTGGGATTTGTAATTTCCTCACCTGGTCTAGATGCATTTATCTGCTGTCAGTTTATCTGCATTTTCAGAAAATAGAAGTCGGGTGCATCTAGGAACCGATTTGAGTATTCTGATTGAGAATTTAGTACCAGATGCATGTAAACACATCACTTAAACCATCTAGAAGCATAAACAGAGGCATCTAGCCTGACAGATTTCCATCTGCATATAGAGGACAAAAAAGCAAGTATGACTGAAGCCTTACACATTTAACGCAGACATGTGCTTAGTCACAGAATGAAGTGAAAATGGAACCAATTGATTTAGGACTTAAAACAGTAAATTGTCATTGACCAAATTATCAGGTGTGACTTATTCACCTTGTTTGAATTAAACTGGTTATAAAAAAAATAGAGATGTATAAATGTGACAATTTTACCAATATGGACTTTAATATACAATATGGGATTTAAAATAATATAATAATACAAATATAACAGGGTGAAAACAATCAAATAAGGAAATGAAGGTTATCTGGTTGGACACTGAGAGTAAACATGTTTGTATGTACAATATAAAAATAAGTGACAATCCTATTGATGGTTTAATATTGGCAGTTCTTTTGCAAATAAATGTAAAATTATTTAAAAAAAAAAAAATCTCATGCAGAAGCTAAACTGTATTTCCACCGTAAAGGGTATCTAATCATCTGTATTTCCTGATTTGAGAAAAGCATGATGGCGAAATTAGGTCAATTTGCAAAATGTTTTGCCGCATGTAGTATTTCTCTGAGTATTGATAATCGAATTTAAACTTGTAGTTCTGTTTTAATATACGTTTTTCTATATTTCCTTTAACAGCGTGGGCTGTCTCCGCCCCCACACCGCTCTGCTGGACTGTGATAGGCGGCTGAGCGGTGTGGGAGGAGAGACACCGGCCGCTCACAGCGCTCGGCCGGCTGTCACACTTTCTCTTGCTGCTCTGTGTCCCAGTGGGGAGAAAAGAAAGCAGGGATGTGCCGCTGTGTCGGCACAAAAATTGCACTTTCGGCCGATATATCGGTGCATCCCTAAAAAAAAAAAAGTGTGAGAAATACATTTGTGCTTATCATTTGAAATGCATTAATAATGCAGCCAGTGAAAAATTATATTTCAAAAAAAAAAAGTGGCTGAAATGATTTATTGTCACCAAAAAGTAAGCTCTCCCTGGCCCTTGCAAATATTTGTAAGCGAGGGAGACAAACTCCCATAGAGATGCCACATTTTTGTAAGAAAATGTTTTCACAACTAAAATAAATGTAGATATGTTAGGGCATTAAACAAACATTTCAGTCCAATAAAAAAAAAAAATTATGAAGTGTTTAAAAGCGACACCTTTTTTTTGTGAGAATACAAGAGCGATCATCCAATCCAAACACTTCATTTTGTTTAGTGACCTTTTTGTAGATTTCAGAAAGCTTTGCCACTTTCCAACCAATGTGTATCTACCTAGTTACCAAGAGTCTCCTATAAAGCAGCCTTTCTCAAGCAGGCTGCCCTTTCATTGTGGGGTGCTTTCTGCCTTCCTCAGGGTGCTCCTAATGTAAAGGGGGATTCTGTAAATGGTGGAACTCTAATGTGAAGGGGGCTCCTGCTTTGAAAGGGAATGCTGATGTGAGGGTTGGGGGGCTTCTGATGTGAACAGGGCTGCTGATGTAAGGGGGGAACTCTAATGTGAAAGGAGGGGGCTCTTGATGTATAGGGGCACACTTAGATGTAAAGGGGAACTCTGATGTGAATGGTGGGATATAATGTGAATGAGAGCTCCTGATTTGAAAGGGAACATTAAAGGAGAACTATGGGGTTAGGGCTTTTCCCCATAGTTCTCCTAAGGGTAACGGGAGAACACAAACTAGCGTCCTCCCGTCACCCAAAGCTCAGTATACCGCGAGCTTACAGCTCGCGGTATACTGAGACGCCGGAACGGATCCCGACAATTATGTCTGGATCCGCCCAGCTCCGTGAGTGACAGCTGGCTCTGCCTATCTAGAGGCAGAGCCAGCTGTACCCACCCCCATCCGTTCCGCCAGTCAGCGCTGGAGGATCGGACAGGGGAGGGGGGAATCCAGTCCCTCCCCTGTCACGGCTCTCTGCAGGGAGATGATCGAGAAGTGAGCGAGCGCCGTTATGTGTTTGCTCACTTCCCTATCTTCTGAGCCGACCTGTGACAGTTTCATTGTCACAGGTCGGCTCAGATTATGAGGCTGACTGAAAATCACTCACCTCATAATTCTCCTTTTAAGGTGAAGGGGGCCCCTTAATATCCCCTATGTGGGATAAGGGTTTGGTATGGATTCAGGAGGAGCCACACGCTGTTAACATTGTAGACTGGGGTGCCGGAGATTTTGCATACTTTTAAGGGTGCCATGACTGAAATTATGTTGAGAAATTGCTGTAAAGAACCAGTGCTGCCCGCAGAGACTCCTCCAAAGTTTATTAACATCTATATTGGGAAATAAATCAGAAATTTTAGGCTGGAAAGAACAATTCTTTGGCAGAGACCATAACCCTAAATTCATAGTTCTTTCAGATTTATAACAGTGTTGTCTGTCTGTCTGTGTTGCTGTTGGAGAGTTCCCCTCAAATCCAAACGTCAGCAGGAGAGGAAGTGAGTGAAAATCTCTAATGGTGCCCTGGGCAGCAGTAAAATCTTACTGGGGCTCTAATCCTTTCTCGCTATCCAAAATGTTTTTGACTTTACATGAACTTTAAACATTTTTGTATTTAGAGTTCAGCTTTAATGAACTTAAAGCATAATTAAGCCTGAGAACAAAAATATATAATATATTGCAGTTTACCATTCCTTTGAAGTGGTGGCTGCATTTTTTTTTTTGGCTTTTTTCCCCCCCCTTTCCTGTCCAAGGGTGACAACATTCACCATGCTGTAACTATTGAGGCGCAGCGATGTCACCCTAGGAAAAAAAAAAGCAAATCAGAGGTTCATTTTTGGGCTTTATTGGGGTTCATTGTTGTACACTCAAGTGTACAGATCCAGGTGCTTGGAACACCTAGGGAATGAAAAAAGCAATGGCTATACTCAACTATGCTGCAATCCAAGGGGCATTAAAGTCTGAGGCATACAATGTGGGAAAACTTGCATGTTACTCATGAAGGCAAACATAATCGCAGGCTGAAGAGAAAATGTAAACCAGTTGATTTAAATGTGTAATTAAACAAGGAGTGTTTACCCAGATAATCCGGTCTTATTTAATCCACTGCTTCAAATAAAGCTCCAGCTATATAAAATACAGCTGCATATAAAAATCTACCACCATTACCAACCAAAGCTCTTGTATTGTACATATACTGCAATATAAACAACATAAAAATGAAATGTTGAACATATATTGAAAATACAGTGCTGAGATACCTATCCAGTCATCCACTGCTAAGAAAGACAAA